CTTTCTCTTTCCTTCCCTCCCACCTTCCCTTCCTCCCTCTCTCAGACCGACTCTATTGGTCAGCTTCGTCTTGGCTCCTCCCCAGCAGGGGCGGGGCGACCGGTCGCGGCTAGAGACGAGGGACACTGGAGGGTGCGACGCTCTGAAGAAGAGCGGGTGGGGCTTGGCATTTGGGTAGTGGCCCGCGAGAGCGACCGAGGGTGGCGGGCTGGGGCTTTTTTCCGTTCAGGCCTCGGCCTTGAGGTACCCGCGCAGCTCTCGTCATCCTTTGGGCTGGCTGGGATCGGGGCCTGCCTGATTCGCTTCCGGATCCCACGGCTACGACACAGGAAGCCGGAAATGCAGGTTTCGGCTACGGGAGAAGGAAAGGGCAACCGCTGAGCCGGGACTTTCTGGGAACGTCGGGGATCTGGGAGCGCTCGCGGCGCGGGCTCCAGCCCATCTCACGTCGGACCGACTCTGCTGACAGGTGTAGTCCTCTTCCCCGAAGACAGGGTACCAGCGGCGGGCGCTCCGCCGCCTCTCCAAGACTCCCCGGGGCGTCCGGGCTGCCCCTCCTTTTGGGCCCCTGGCTGGTTCCTGCCCCGCGCTTGTAGAGCACTGGCCCAGGCGGGCGGATGCAGGACCTAGGCTGCTTCCGCGGCTGGCGGGACTCCTTCGGTACCTTCCTCTCCGCCGCAGGTCTGACGTATGCCTCTGCTTGATCACCTCAAACACAATTACTATCCTCGCGACCTCATCCCGTTTTTGCTACCTGAGGATGAGTGAGTCGTGCCTGGCTTGTTCCAGGAACCGCAAAGGAGGCCAGTGTAGCTGGGGCAGAGCGAGCGAGGGAGAGAATAGGTGGAGAGGAACGAATGGGGACCAGCTGTGACAGAGCCTCGTTGGCCGAAGGCCTTTGGCTTTTACACCGAAGGCGGCGGGGAGCCCTGGCAGAGTTGTGAGTAGGGGAGCAGTGTGATCGGAAGTACCTTTTAGACTGATCTAGACTGACGGTTCTGGCCGCGGTGGGGGAATAGACTGTAGAGGGCCGGGGTAGGAGCAGGCTAACCTGTTAGGAGATGATTGCAGTTACCCAGCGGATGATTTAGGCATTTTACTATGGGAAGTTCCAAAGACGTGCAAAAGTCAAGAGAATATAGTATAGTGAGTCCCATGTACCCACTTCCTGGCTTCAACAATTACCGATGCGTGGCTATTCTTGTTTAATTTATACCCCCACAACCCTCGCCCATTGTAATTATTAACAGCTTTTGAGACAGAAATCACATACCATGCAATTCCTCTTTTAAAGTCTACAGTGTAATGATTTCTATAAAGTGTTCTGATTTGTACAACTACCACCACTACCTAATTTCCCAACATTTCTGTCACTGAGGATACCGCGTGCCCTTCAGCCACCATCCTCCCTCCTCGTCAATCCTCTGCTTCTCCCAGCCTCTGGTAACCACAGGCTATTTTGTGTGTCTGGCTGTCCTGGAGGTTTCACGTAGATGGAGTCCTACAGCATGCCATCCTTTGTGACTGCTTTGTATTCCTCGCCGTGTTGTTTTGCACATGGATGTGCCGGATTCTTCAGTCATCTGTTGCTGGGCGTTTGGGTGGTTTCCGCTTTTCGGCTGCTGCGAGTGATGGTCTTGTGAGCGTTGGTGTGTGAACGTGTGTTTTCGTGGAGACACCTAGGAGTTCCCTTGTTATTTGGAAGAAATCTCAGACATTGTATAATTTCATTTGTGTGTATTTCAGTGTGGTTCTCTCTAAGAAACAACAGTAAAACTAAACCTCACCCTGGTGTCGTTGTCACACCTCGGACAGTGCCCATTAATTGCTTAGTGTCATCAAGTGGATTCTGGGATACATTTGACAGGACTTCCAGATGTGGGGGAAAGAGGAGTCCAAAATGAGTGCAGGGTGTCTGTCTTGATAAGGGACGACGAGTTTGCCATCAGCTGATTATGGGGACGGCTGTGCTGAGGCTGGCTTTTGGGGCCTTTCTGTGGTACAGTTTTAGGTCAGTGGTGAGAGGACTGTTAGATGTCCAGCTGGAAATGCTGTCTGGCCTGGGGACCTGATCGGGGGGCTGTCAGCATTTAGAGATGGGGCTTACAGCTGTGAGGCTAGAGCATGGAGAGGCGGCCCCAGGACAGACCCTGGGGTGCCCCAACATGAAGGGATGGGGAGAAGAGCGTCCAGCAAAGGAGCCCGAGCAGGAGCAGCCGTGAGGCAGGAGGAAACCAGGTAAATGGGAGATTCTGGAAGCCGGAGGGTCCACCGAGGATGGAGGGATCGGTGTGGGCCTCCAGGTAGCCAGCCCTCCTAGGCAGGATTTTGAAGGGCTCGGGCTGCTGCTTTCCTGCAGGGCCTCCTCCCCCACGCCACAGGGAATGCGGGCAGCTTTGGCCGGCACCCTGCCCTGCTCTTTCTGGCCGAATTCAGGCCCACTCCTCACCCCCAGCCCCAGCTCCAGGGGACACTTGTTAGGCTCTGAGCAGTGTCCTTGAAGCGTCTCTTACGAGCGTGTTCGTCTCCCAGAGCTGCGTAGAGAGGCCCGCAGACAGCGTGACTCACGACAACAGAAGTCCATTCTCCCAGGGTTCTGGAGGCTAGGAGTCGGAAGTGCAGGTGTGGGCGGGGCCGCGCTCCCTCCGAGGGGCGGCGGGCGGCGGGGAGCCTGCCAGGCCGCCTCCGGGTTCTGGTGGCTCCTTGCATCGCTTCCGCTCTGCCTCTGTCCTCATGGGGCCTTCTCCTCTGTGTGCGTCTCTCTTCTGTGGTCTCTTAGAAGGACACTTGGCATTGGATTTAGGGCCCTCCCAGTTAAGAACCAGGAGCTCTGGTGACATAGTGGTTAAAGGATTGGGCTGCTAGCTAAAAGGTTGGTGGTTGGAACCCACCAGCTGCTGCATGGGAGAAAGATGAGGTCGTCTGCTTCTGTAAAGATGACAGCCTTGGAGACCCTGTGAGGCAGCTTCACTGTGTCGTCTAGGGGCGCTGTGAGTCAGAATGGACTCCACGGCAGTGGGTTTTGGGGTTTTTGTTTATGCAGGATGATTTCATCTCGAGATCATTTAGTTAACATCTGCGAGACCCTCTTTCCATATAGGGCCCCAGTCCCAGGGTCCAGGGCTTAGGGTGTGGATCTGTTCAACCTGCTGCTCCCTCCAGAGATACTTGGTCCTCTCCCTGCTCGCCTACAGGTGGCCAAACTCTTCCCTTCAGCTAGAGCCTGGGGTGGGTGCTGGGTGGGGCTGTCGCCTCCCTCTGCACTGGGAACCTCTGGTGTAACTGTGACGGGATAGCCACTTCGGCCGCCTTCTTGTTGGACTGGATGAAAGGACTGACACTCCGTGGGACCCTGCATCAGAGGCGTCTGCGGGGCTCCCGAGTGAAGCAGCCCCGCCTTTCTCTTGCAGCCGGTGCCGCGGTGGATGAACGGGCATCTGCAGAAGAATCCACCCTGTGACATGGTGCAGCCCAGTGGTGGCCCAGCGGGGGACCAGGACTTGCTGCCTGAAGAGTCTCCTCTGGGGAAGCCGGCCATGCTCCACCTGCCTTCGGAGCAGGGTGCTTCTGAGACGCGCCAGCGCTGCCTGGGGGAGAATCAGGAGCTCCGAGGTGAGCGGGACTGTGGGCAACTGGAAGGCTGGGGAGGGCAGCCTTGCTGAGGGGAAGGCTCCGTCTGCTCCTCCGGGGGCTCTGAAGGGCCCTGGTGGCACCTGTCATTCATAACGCCCTGGGACTCTGGCCCTCCCCTGCCCAGAGTGACGGGAGTGGGACGGGGAGCGTGGATCTCTGCAGGTGGCTCTCCTGGTCCCGCAGACCGCGTGGCCACGTCCTGCTCACCAGGGTGGCTTTGCTCTCACGCCCCCGGAAGGGTGAGGCCTTGAGGCTGCCGTTGGCTGCCCAGGTCTGGTGGGCAGTACTGGAAGATGCTGTGGGCTGGGTGCTGGCTGCCAGGCCCTCCTAAGATGCTCCCGGTCAGTGGTGGGAGCCGGAGAAGGGAGGGAGCAGGGGCCAAGGAGGGCCTGGGCTGGGTTGGACTGTGTGGGGCAACTTCCGGGAAGAAGTTGCCCAAGGCTGTTGCCTGACTCCACGGACGCGGGATGTCAGGCGGTTGCTGAAGCTGGCAGGTGGTGATGGGTACAGGGTTCTTGGGGTGATGAGAGAGGGCTGGGGCTGCTACAGGGCTGTGTGACGCTGCAGCGGTTCAAATGGTGCGTCTTATCTCCATAAGAAACACTTGGAAGTGAAGCAGGTATGTGGGAACTGCCCTCGGCAGCCGGGCATGACGCTGGCAGGCGGAGGCACAGAGGCCATGGAGGCCCGGGGACAGGAGAGCCCTGGGCAGAGCTGGAGGGTTCCCGCAGGGAAGAGCAGGTGCAAAGACGGCAGGGAAGCCACATGTTCCGACCTCCTCTAATCCCACAGGAGGAAGACAGGGTTACCAGCAGTAACCCAAGGCCTATTCCTGCCAGGCCAGACAGGCTGCCTCCCTCCAGCCCTTTCACCAACCGTTCCTCCCAAAGCACCCACCACCTCTCTCCTGGGTTCGATAATTCGCTGCAGTGGGCACACAGAACTCACAGATTACAGGGTTTATTAGGGAAGCACCAGGCTACAACTCAAGTTCAAGAAAAATGCTCAGCCTCTCTCCCAGCCCACCGTCCCTCGGCCAACAGTCTCTCACAATCTCTTTCCCAGCAGTGCTGGCCCCTCGGTGTCTCACTCAGCAACGTGTGTCTCTTGCGTCTCTTTCCCAGCAACGCCTGCCTCTTTCAGGGGCGCGTGTCTCTTTCGGCAGCACGTCTTCCTCAACCAGCAGTCAGAGAGAGTTTTGCCTCCAGGAGGCCTCCTTTTGAGCCCGGAAGGGTGGTCAAACTAGCCAATCATAGCATCAGAACTCTAAGCACCTGAGAGAGAGTGGGCACCTCCCAGAACATTGTATTGTGCCACTCCCAACAGAAATAACCCAGGTGGATAGTTCCTCAGTTGCTCATAGAAAATCCCACCTTGGAGTTTACAAAGACTTATGGGTAGAAAAGCCACACTAAGTAATTTACTACACTGCAGTAGGTGACAAGTGTGACTCTGAAGTGTTCTATGGAGCTGTCACGGCCTCCTCAGTTGACGGAACCTTTACTACCCCAGCAGCCCTGAGTGGGACCAGTGGCAGCCTCCGAGCCTCGCGCTTCCCGTGCTGGGGCTTGTGCCCTGCCTGTCCCTCTCCTTTTCTCTGGCCCCTGCTGGCTTCCCGAGATGTGCACATGCTCACGGCTGAGCCTGGCAGGCAAGCCAGTGGTCGTGCTTGGGAGCCTGCAGGTGCTCTGAGGTGGGGCACGTGAGCTCGGGAGCCACTTACGAAGCCAGTGCTGCTGGTCCACGCTTCAAACCTTTTGTGTTGTGGGCAGATACACGTAACAAACCCTGTTCTGCTTGAAGCCCATTAGCGCACAGCTTGGCGACATTCACTGTGTTTGCTGTGCCGCGTAGCCGCCGCCACCGGCTGCCTCCAGAGCTTTTTCGTCACCCCTGACAGAAACCCAGGGCACCTTCAGCACTAGCTCCCCGTTCCTCCTCCCTCTGCTTTCTAGATCTCTCACGTACACGGGCCCATGCGGTGCGTGCCCTGTGATAGGCTGCCTTCACGCAGCATGACGTCTTCCAGCTCCATCCGTGTTGGGGGATGTATCAAGAGTTCCTTTCTCCTATTCACTGGGTGATATTCCATTGTCTGGGCCACATCGTTCATCTGTTCGTCTGCGAACGAGCACTTGGGTTCTTTTGCGCTTTTGGTCACTGTGAGTAGTGCTGGGCTCAGCACTGATGTACCAGAGTCTGTGTGAGTCTCCACTCAGCTCCTCCGGATGCCTCCGAGGCGTGCAGTTGCCGGGTCCGGCAGCGACTCTGGGCTTCCATTTTTGGGGAACCACTACACTGTTTGCATTTGACCTTAGCAGTGAATGAGGGCTCCCGTTTTCCCCAGCCTCACCAGATGTGTGTAATGTTTAGTTAGTGACATGTAGGGGCATATGGTTAGTGTCAGCAAGTTTGCAAGTGTTGGAAGAAAGGAAAGGAATTGTCTAAAGGCCTCTGCCTGTGCAGCAGGCCTCGTCGTGGGGCAGGGCTGCCACCGTGGTAGGCAGCCCCGAGCTCAGGCCCCAGGGCTTACCTTCCCCTCTGCTGTCTTCTCTGTCCCCAGATGCCATCCGGCAGAGCAATCAGATGCTCCGCGAACGTTGTGAGGAGCTGCGGCATTTCCAGGTCAGCCAGAGAGAGGAGAAGGAGTTCCTCACGCACAAGTTCCAGGAGGCCCGGAAGTTGGTGGAGAAGCTGAGCCTGGAGAAGTTGGAGCTGAGGCGGCAGAGGGAGCAGGCCCTGCAGGAGGTGGAGCACCTGAAGAGGTGCCAGCAGGTAGCCAGGGCCCGGCTCCGGCAGGGAGCCAGGGAGCGGGGCTGCGCCTCCAGCCACCTGACTTCCGAAAGAGGGGACCCCAGGAGACTGAGGACTCAGAAGGGCTGTTCTGCTTATGGTTTATTACAGGAAAAGCTGCAGGTTGAAATTGGCATACGTACAAGGCACACAGAGAAGGGTCCAAGAGAGACCAGGTGCCAGCTTCCAAGTGGGGGACGGCAGAGGAGGGCAGAGGGAGGGCTTGGGGACCATGGCAGGGTGATGGGATCTGGCTTCGTGTAGAATGTGGTGTGTAGGGGACAGGGGTGGAAGGGGGGGCCCAGTTGGAAGCCTGTTGCAGCTGCCCAGTAAAGCATTAACCAAGCAAGGCTGCAGTGCCTATACCCTGTATATTCCAAAGAAAGGTTTGGCCTTTGCTTAGCTTCGGGCAGATAACCTCGAAATCAACCCAACCTAACTGCCCTCAGGTCAGTTTTGACTCCCAGAGCCCCTAGAGGACAGAGTGGAACTGTCCTACAGGGTCTCCAGGGCTGTCGATCTTTATGAAAGCAAGGCCCGGTAAGGGTGCCTTTGTTGGCCAAGGGCCCCACCGTAGGTCAAGTTATTGACCTCTTTGCAGCTGCAGAGCCATTTCAAGGGGCACAGAGGAATCAGTCAGTGTGGCACCCTAACGGACACAGACATGGGTGACCGTGGCCAGGGTGGTGTTGATTGCTGGCAGAAGTACATGCAGAGGCAGCACGCGTGGGGCCCAGGAGAGGAGTCTGGTCCGAGGTGTGGATTGGGAGGTCACTAGATCCGTCAGGGAGGTCTGATCCTTGAGATGGGTCAGACCATGAACGTGAGAGCGGGTCAAAAGGAAGAGTGGTCCTGGCTCTGAAGTAGCGAAAGAGACTGGGAGGGAGTGGTTGGCGGGGTGGGGAGAAGTTGCAGCGTGGGAGATTTGCCAGAAGCCCACATGAGCAGCAGACACTGCTGAGGGCTTGGGGCTGAGGGGGGCTGAGGATTGCCGGTGGGAGTGGGCGGCGGGAGGTCCATGGGACCCAGACCAGGACAGCTTGGGTGGGATGATGAGGGAGACCTAATGAGGGAGCCGGGGGGATGGGGAGTTTGGCCAACTCGTGAGTTTTGTTGCTAGCAGACGTCTCCTGGAAACAGCATGTTGGTCCATCTTTCTCTTATGGACCTGTGCCTGTG